AATTTCAGTCTCACAGTACCTCTATGGATTTTAAATAACCCAGGCTGAGAAGAAAGAAGAGTTGAATCCAGCACTTTTTATGGAGAAAGAAACTATATAGAACAGTGGTGGCCAACCTTTTAGACCTGGGGTTGGGTATAACGTCCAGGGTCAGAAGCTTTTAGGGAAGGGCTGATAGCTTAGTGGCAGAGAATCAGCTTTGAATGCAGAAAGTCCCAGGTTAATTCCAGGCATCACCAGTTTTAAAAATTAAAAGATTCACAAAGTAGCTAATGGAAGGGACCTTTGCCTGACACCTCAAAAACTAGAATAGACGAGACCGAGATAGAGGGGGAAATGGTTTGATAGAATTCACTTTTCAAGAATTCTAGCTCCTGTTGAGAATATTTGAAGTCAGGATAGGGACAGGAAGAAACTACAAAGCCGGCAGAATCAGTGTTGCTAACAATCAGGTGGATGAACAAATCTGATTCAAAGGAACAGGGAAGAGGGGCAAAAATAAAACAAAAACAAAAAAATAGTGAAGGCAGGTTAAGCTATTAACTTGGGGCCTGCAGGCACAGGGATCCTGCCAAGCTCCCCCCTTGCCCTCTCACTCTTTGCCCCATGCCTTCAAGAAACTTAATTATATGGGGTAGGGCTACCCTATCTGAGCTGCAAAAATCCAGACCATCACTAGATGGCAGCAAATGGAGTTTTGTTGAATGATGTGATAGTCCTGGGTCTCCAGATTTGGCAATGTGATGATTTCATCGAGGGCAGCTGAGAGCACTAAACAGGCCAACACGTTTTTTATAAGGAAGGCAGTTTTTATATTTGAAAACCGAATAAAAGCCAGTTCTATCATTTCTTTGCCTATCATCTCTCAAGCATTTTTTCCACTTTGGAGTTCATCTAGTCAGAAGTAGATGACTTAGGCAAGGCTTACTTTTTCCCAATTTGGTGTTAGGTTTCAACTGCCAGGATTTATATGATTTGAACAGGATATCACTTGAAACAACTCTCGTGATAGCTAGGGAGTCAAAATCAAACCCACTTGGAGGGCAAAAGCTGGACCAGAGAGTAGAAATTCTTACCTGTCACCAGTCATTGTCAAGCTGGGAGTTCAAAAGTTTAATGTTATCCTTTTGTCGACATCTTTGTCTTAGGAAAGTTCTCCACAGAACCTTCTGATATTGTTATTTTTCCTCCCACAGAATGCAGCTCATTCTGCAGCTCAGAATTGCCTCAGCACCAATTACTCTCAAGCACACTTTTAACCTTTTTTCAGTCATATGTCTATTCCTGTCTGTTAATCTTTAATTGACTGATTACTTTTCTAAAGGAAAGATGTCCAGCAGTGAAAGTTTTGTGCTTGTCTCTTGACACGTCTTTTCTTTTTATATACCATGTTCCTTTTCAGATTTATCTTTGAAATTATAACTAGAACTTATTTCATCAAATGCCCTGAGGCAGCAGCATTCATTCATTCATTCATTCATTCATTCATTCATTCATTCATTCATTCAATATGTCCGTCCATTTTGTATCCATGACTCAGTTTAAAAACAGAATAAAAATTCTTGCATGCAACTCATAACTCATGTACAAAATGGGAGGAGTGTGCGTTGCAGTGGTGCAATGCTTCCTTTGTCACTTGACTCCTCTTGACACACACTCCAGATAACTCTGCATAGTAAAAAACCAACAAGTTTGAAAACAACAAAAATAGCATAAAATAAAATAGCAACTGAGAAACTCAGTCAACACAACCAAGACCAAGAAATGGACTCACCCATACTATCAGGGCCCCAGGTTTGTTTATGCTTTGTGTCCTTGGTGCTCCCTGAGCTTGGTTGCTTGCAGACGTTTCATTATCCAGCTAGGTAACATCATCAGTGCTTGTGAGTGTGGGGTTTGCTCCCTGTTTATATATAGTAGCTTGCTCTGCCAGTGTTGGTGGAGGTGTGGTTTTCTCTTTGGTAGTTCCTTGATTAGGGTGTTGTTTTCTCCTTGATTGTTTGTCTGGTGTTAATCCCTGCTCATCTGGGTGTAGGCTGCTGGAGACAATGTCTTCTGGTCCTTTTGTTTCCTTCTTAGCTTTTTTATTGTCTCTTTTAAATGATGTGTAAATATTTTTATATGTCTATTGATGGCTGATTTGTCTGAAACCTCATCTCCACCAACACTGGCAAGCTACTGTATATAAACAGGGAGAAAATCCCACACTCACTAGTACTGATGATGTTACCTAGTCAGGTAATGAAACGTCTGCAAGCAAACAACCAAGCCCAGAGAGCATCAAGGACTCCACAGTTCAACCCTGAGCTACATATATTCTCTTCTATTATTTATGCTTTATTTCTGCCTTCTTTTACCACTTTTTAAAAACCAAATCTAGTAGCCTCTTCCTCCATGATGTTAAAAAAAAAGCTCTTTTCTCCTGGTCTTCAAATATCAAAGCACTTCTCATAATCATGCTTTCCTTGCAACTTCCACTCAGAAGCCTGTTCAAACCACAGCACCCACATCTTCAGAGATCTTCTTGCTTGTTTATTATTTCTATATACTCAAACCAAAAATAACTGATTTGAAAACTGATCTTTTTGGTTCCTGTCTTGGCTAGTGCTTCCCAAAATAACTCCTCCCTCTCTTCCTCCTAAGAAACTGTTGTCTTCCTTTATGGTAAATACAGTATTCTACTGTACACTGTAGATTTAGAAAGCTGGATTAAATTGTTAGAAAGAGAGGACTTGGCTGGAGTATTTCCTGGCTAGGTCAGTTGACCCAATGAATTAAAACATCATCACTGTAATATTTTTTATTCTGAATATTGTGGGAAAGCAGATTTTATTTATTGCATTCCCTGCATAGATTTGTATCTTAGTCTTGCATTTGACACATGAGGCAGAGGCTGTTGTAATAAAATATGTGTCTAAATATGTAGCCACTGGGCTTTATTTTCTGCATACATGTTATAGATAGACTGGTATATTGTCATGAGGTGGCCTTTAAAAGGTGTCAAATAAGTTTCCACTCAGACTGTTAAATACTAGTGGCATTCAGGGAATTTCTTATGTCTTGTGAAATCAGATCACTCCTTTTTCCCCGCTCCTGGAATGGAAATAGCAGGAGAAACTACAAAAAGTGAATCAGCAACCCTAATGAAACATGTCATATGCGCCCTCCCTATATTCTATTTCAGTTCTACAGATGGATTTAAAAGAATCAAATCATAGATCATTAATGAACCAAAGTAAGAACTTCAAGAAAGCTGGAATAATTCCTTTTGTTAATCTTCTCAATCTAATATTGATATAAAATTTACATGTCATATATAACTAATACCTCTGTTTCAATCCCAGCCAACAAAAGGGAGAATTATATTAATTTTGAAAAGTCATGCTCAGTCAATACAAACCTTTTATGTGCAGACTAGAATTTGCTGCTTATTTGTACTGCCCAACAAGATCCACCCACCAGAGTTGCCCATAACTGATTTTGGATTAGGGTTTCATGAGAGCCCATTTTGGTTTATCAAACATCTCTTCAGACTTAGTGTGTTTTGTATATTTACTTTATGTTACAAACTATGGTTAAGCAAACCATGACCATGCAAAATGCAAACCCAGTTATTGCTTTGTATGAAATATGGATTCATTTGACTTCTGTTTCGCATCTCAAGTAAATTTTCCTCCACAGGAGGCCATGCACAGAACCTACTGAAAGAGTCAAAGGATTTAGCACCTGCCTCACTTGAGCTGAATCTAATACAGATGGGCTTAAATTTATTAGGTGGCTTTCAAATGGCTTGTATTTAATTGTAAGAGTATACCTTCACAAATGTGTTTAAAACACAGATGACCTTGCCCTTCACTCTTTTTGAACTGGTGCTCTTGCAGTCAAAGAAACACTGCTTTAGAACCTCTCAATATTCAGTTTCAAAAAACCATAGATTTTCTCCTGTGAATCTGGACTGGAAGAAGCAGAGGACTATCAGCCTTGTCACACAACAACCCATTGGGGATGCAAACAGATATACTTTCTGGGGTTCCACATCCTCCCTCTTTCATTGCTGCAATTTGCAAACTTTACGCTGGGAGATATTGATAGGCGACAGCACAAGCAGGCCCTCTGCTCTTGATGCAGAAGCGCATGGGAGAAAAACAGCCAGAATTTTTGGCAGGTTGCCACAGAGGCAGCAAATAGCAGGCACACTTCTGTAGGAGCAACAGGTGCCTTCAGGAACTGTTCTAGAAGGCTTTATTTGGTTCTGGATCCTATGATTAGTTCACAGTTTGTGAACCAGGAACAGCAGGAGTGCTAAACCATACCCTTCCTGGAGTTATTTATCTCTTCCTCCTCCTCAGACCATTTTCCCCAGCTAAAACCTAAACCATAACACATTCTTTCTACACAATTGGAACAGACCTACATTTTTAACAAATTGGTTGCCACTGTGTGCAGCTTAAGCCTAAAAGCAAGGAAGATTTCCATCCTAGTATCACCTAGCCATCACAGTGGTCATAAATCCTTAATGCAGACCGCCTTCCTATCGCACTAGAATGATTGGGAGTTGTTACAAATCGTTAGTTCTGAAATGCTGAAAGATGTAGAGAAATGATGGAGAACAAAAATCAGAATGGAATAGCAGTGCTATGAGTGCAGAAGTCCTGTGGCAGAGTGGGCTGCGGAGAAAGAAGGAAGCAGGTGGAAGAAGGAAAGGTAAAAAGATTTGAGCTTGTGCTTAAAAGGGCAGAGAAAAAAAGCAAAATCGCTTGGATTGTGAACCAAAATGGGGTGGGGTAGAGATTTCAGAAATAGTGCGGAGAGAAGAAAAGGTGAAAAACAGAAAGATTAGGAGGAGATGCGTTTGAAATAAATGTTTTATTTTCCATTATAGGCAAAATGTAAAGTTTCTCCTAATGCACCAAGGTAGGCCTCTTGGGATGCTAAAAATGTGAAAGGAGGTGTCAGTGCTGAGAAAGAGAAATGTTTGTTTATTTTCTATCTAATAACAGGCCTCCGCCCCAAAAGGACTCTGCGTTTAGTACTTTGGACTGGAGAAGAACAAGGGGGAGTAGGAGCTGAACAATACTACAAGCTACATAAAGTAAGCAACCTGATGGAATAATGTATTTTTAATTTGTTGGATTCATTGATTGTTTTTTATATCATTTTATGGTTTTTATTGTACACCGCCCAGAGTAATGTTTTTCGTGAGATGAGCAGCCATATACACACGATGAATAAAATAAATATTTCTTCATTTTACTAGCAGTGTTCCCTGCAGTTCTCACCTGTGAGCAGTAAGGAACTGGAAGGAAAAAATCAAGCAGCCATAATCATATTATGGTTTGGGCTTGGAAACTGCTTATATTCTCAGAGAAAATACATAATGATATGGGAGATAGAGAACAATAGGCTAAAGTTGATATTGTTCTAACCTCTGATGAAATTAACCAGGATTTATGCAACTAAACAAATGTTGTGGTATAACACTCCATGCTGAATTATAAACTGCACAAACTGGATTTGTACAACATGCTAGATTAAACTGTCATTAGCTAGTCTCAGTGTGTTGTGTAAACACAGCCATCAAGTTGATAATATGGACTGGTATTGAAATATCAAAATCTAGATCATCATTCCTGAATCAGAATAAGGGTTGTTTGTGATAGAATTCCAAATTAAAATTTGCATTAATTGTATCTTATTGAATCTCCCCATTAGCTCAAACAATGGTCTTCAAAGATGAAGTAACAACTAAACCTGCAGTCCCCAGTGTTGCACCCAGAGCCGCCAATGTGCCCATAAGACCCTCCCTTAGTACCCTAGCTTCTTGTTCAACTTCACTTTTTATACCTTGAACAAAAATAATTTCAAAAACAGGAGCCAGTGTGGTCTAGTGGTTAAGGCACCAGGCTAGAAAGCAGGAGATTGTGAATTCTAGTCCCACCTTAGGCATGAAAACTGGCTTGGTGACTTTGGCCCAGTCACTCTCTCTTTGTCTTTTTTTGATCTTTCATTGGACAAATGAAAGTCTTCAGAAGTTTGCTTTCCTGCTAGAAGACAAAAGAAGAGAAGCCAGGGTGGCTAGGAATACCAGCATAAGGTTCTGCTAGAGAGGTGGCAGGTAATATTCAGGGCATGGGGCGTTTGGTAGCTGCTTATATTATCTCTGGTTATCATTCTCAGTGGGCAAGGTCCATCCACCAGCCATCTTGCAAGGAATAGTTGTTCTTGAAACTCCAGATGTGCCCATCAGTACAAAAGAGTAATCCTCTTTAGAATCCTCTTCTAAACCTTAGTTCGTCAACCACAATGTAATATCAAGCTCCAGTTTTCCCACATTAATTCTTTTCTTCCCAGCTATAATCAGATGATAATGCGGTTCCCCTTGGCTATAAAATTTAGAAGGAAAACATGTCCTTTACTACTAATCAGAGTACCAGTACTGCTTGCAGGTTTACAATTTTCTTTGGGGAATAGTTTGGGAATGAAGAATTAACCCTGCACTCAGTTTGCATGAGGTACTAAATGAAAATAGAAGGTGTTGTACTTATTTAATTTTATTTTTAAAGAAAACTTTAACAACCAAACTATTAAAGTAAGTATCTGATTTGGCCCTTAACTTGCTAATTTAGACATTTTATGCCTTGGAAGGAGAAAATAACCATATCTATGTATATGCTTTATATGACATGCCTTGAAAATTATGAAGTTTTTTCTGTTGTGCCTGGATATTTTGGATATCGTCAATGCTTTCTAGAAATAATTAAGTTCTGGTGATTTGTAGATGAAAAAAAAAGTGAGTGAAGTATGTTATATGTTTCGTTTATGTTAAAAGTACATTTTACAATATGTTGGACTGAAATCAACAGAGTTGTTTTTATAAAAGGTTTAGGATTTAATGTGCATTTTAGCCATAGAGAATGATGCATATGCTTAACATCACTCATATTTTTATCATGTACTTCTAAAATTTAAAAAATAAGCTTAAAGGACCATAGGATGACATCTCATTCTTCTGGAATTTATTCACAATTATCTTTTCAAAGCATGATATGGCATGAGGGATAACTTAATAGATTTGTCTCAGAGCCAAATATGATTATTATATAAACATTTCATAGCTTAATTTGATTTTAACTGTTTCCAATACTTATTCAAACATTAAGGAAATAAACATTCGGCACAAGTGTCCTTATGTTTAGTTGATGGTTGCAAAGTATTTGTGTGTGATCCTAAGGCTCAGACAAAAATATTTGCTGTTTTTAATAAGCATAAATACTCACACACACATAGATTTTATTAGTTAAAAAGTACGTTTAGAAACCTTTGCCTTCACTCTGAAATGACTTCATTTGCATTCAGTAACATTTCTTAGGCCAAGAGGAATGAACTCCTGGCTCTGCAGGTTACTGAAGTTGAACTTCTGTCAGCTTCAACCAGCATGCTCAGCAGTCAGGATGATAAGAATTGTAGTCTAGTAACATCAGAAGGGCCACAACTTCATCACCCCTCATGTAGCCTAATCTGATTGGCTTTGTAACATTGAAATGATATTTCATTCACTGTTTTGAAGAAGTCCAACAAAGTACAAATGAACACATGGAGAGGAGGAAGGAAATTGCGTCTGGTGCCTCTATCTCAAATGGTGATTTGACCACCATGGTGATACATCGTGCATATAGCACACCTATTTTACATTTTTTTTTAAATGTTCACTCTCTCATGACCCAAATGAGCCAAAAAATTCCATCCCAGATCCATGACACCACCCCAATAGACATCTCTTGTGGCATACAGAGGTTAGTCTTTTTTTAAGAAAAGAAAAACTATATGGATGAAACCTCTATTTTTATTAGAAAAAGGCATCTGTGACCAACAATTGAGAAGAAAAAGATTGAGTGTGTTCCTGGCATTTCCCTTCTCCAAATTGTCCCTCTACCAGTAGCCCTTTTTCTCAGCAACAGCAACATAAAGATTCTGGGGTTTATTACATTCATTTGTGTATAATATTTATTCTGCCCTACACAGCTGTTGAATTTTTCCCTTGCCATCACTTTCTTGTAGACTAATTTTTCCTTGCTTGCCAAAGAGTTTGTATTTCTGTGCTGCTGCTAATCTTATTTATTGAAAATTTGACAGGGAAATGTTATAAATAGTTCCATTTTATATTCTAAGTATGAAAAGAATTGCCTAAATAATAGAGGGGGCTAGGAAAGTGGCCTTGGGCATTACTAAATCAAATCTGAATCCTGCAAACATCCATTGGAGGGGGGAGAAAGTTGCTTTGGGGGAGATGGGGAGAAATCAGCAAGAAAAAAAGTGCTTTTGGAGGAATATTTCCAACCTTCTGTAGATCTCAAATTTGATCTGTTATAATTATGGTATATTTGGCCATATATCTACCAGCAGGAAAGTCTAATAAGCATTCTGTAGCAAAAAATAAACAGATTAATGTTGTAAATAATCTGTGTGCATTAAAAACATCTTAACTTTTTACAGAGTTGTAGCCCATATTTCTGAGAAATGGATTCCTAGAACAGAATACTTCTTGTAGCTAGTAATTACTTGAATTGCAGAGGCATATGATCCATCATTTAAACTTGAAATCTTTACATTTTAAAGGTTATTTTTAAAAATGATCGGATAGCTCATTAAAAGGGGTGGTTTTATTATGAGCTTGGCAGATTGCAAAAGAGAACGTAATTAATTCTTTTCTCTTAAAGGAGTAATGATTAGCAAGAGATAGAAGTTATGGCAGAGCATCAATAATAAGGTAGCCTGAATCTTTCTTTATAAAGTCTAGTCCTCTATTCATTTTCTCTTGCTTGTGTATGTATGAAAATCTCCTCAGATAAATAGCTTTGTGATACTAATTAATATTGGGATTATGGTAAAAGTCAGAAACTCCATGCATATTGGTGTGTCCTAATAATCGAGACGGCCATGGCAAATGTTGCATAACTTTCTTTTAAAAAAACAGTAGTAGAATATAATATTTACCAAAGCAGATGGGTAATTAATCCAAAGAGGCTTATCAATACTATGACGCCTACCATTGACTAATGGATCTCAAGAATCCCAAATACTCTTTTTAGGACTTCAGACCAAACTGGTGTCAGCTTTTTCCAAGTCAGCAATTGTCTTGGATTTTAGTCATTGCCTTCCACGTATAATCTTTGCATTATAGATATCCATATGAATCCATTTATTCAAACAAATCAATGTCAATAATAATAATTTTAAATATTTTAATTTCCTTGGATACATTTTGACTGTAACATAGTGAGGATAGATTTTTCTTGAGGCTATTGTAGATGGATTATGTGCCTGATTTTCTTCTGCCTCAGTAAACTAAGAACGCCTCTTGCATATAAAATAACAATTCCCTAGACATTCCTAGGGTCCAAGTAAGTCAATGGCCAGGATGTTAGTGCAGCTTCATTAGGATTCTGTTCACCAGCAGTAGAAAAGCTCAGAAGAAAATAACTGCATTCTGAAACATGGCAGTTTTGTCAGCATTTCCCTTGGATTGATGGGAATGATCCCAGCACACATATTACTACTACTGCTACCACTACTACTATTGCTACTATTACTAGTAGTAGAATAGCAATATGTGTATATTGTTCTTCTTCCCTGAGTGGTATGCAAAAAAATACTTACAATGAATCTTCAGTAGAAACAATTTGATTAAAAAATCAATAATGAAATGAGACAGTGAAAAACAATTAATGTAAAACAATTAAAATTCATTTAGAAGGCCATCAGAGATTGGAGTTGTTGTTACCATGCCAAAGCCCAGATGAACAAGCATTTTTTCAGTGGTGTTTAAAAACAAAGAGCATGGTGGCTAGCTATGTTTCCCCCTAGGACAAAGTTTCAGTGTCAGGGCATTGCCACCAAGAAGGTCCTTCTGCTCTGTATGTCAGATCCACTTGTAGGACCACAAGCAGAGCCATCCCAGCTAATGTTGATACTTGGTTTGGATGATATTGAAGAGACAGTATGTTAAGTACATAGATTCTAAGGCACTGAAGTCTTTTTTGACTAATGGAAATATCTTGAACTGGACTCGGTAGCTCATAGACAGTAATAACA